TTGGACACATCAGGCTAGAAATACCCTGCCCTGCATTTCCCTGGTGCCCTCCCTTCCCTCATAACACAAACTGAGGGTCTATCCCTTTCTGGACAGTCCAGCAAAGACTCTCCCAGCCCTCAAACTTGCTCCTGGGACAGGGGACATTCCTCTTTTGATTGGCACCTCGTTTGAAGAAGAGTTTTTCCCAAAAGGTAAAGATGCAAGGAGTGAGGGGCCTGAAGTTTTCCTTGCTTGCCCTGCATTCCCAGGAGAACTGAGTTATTTCAGAAGAGAGGGGAGCCTCCAAACCCAGGGAACGCTGGCAGCAGCCCAGCAGAGTGCTGCTGCCTACCAGAAGTAAACTGGTTTTGTACTGGTCAGGATAATATTCCAGCTGGGGAGGTTAAAATGGGATTAGGGAGTCAGGACATCTCCCTCCAAACAGAGTAATGGAGGTGATGGGAAGAATTAATCCCATCAACTTCCCCACTGCTCTGTGTTTAAATCCCTCTTCACCTGGCTGTGGGATGCACCCACACATGCTTCCCTTCCCACCTGCACATAGATTTTATTTTATACATAGATATTTATATAAAATACATCTATTATCTTTGCAAATAATACATTTCTCTAAATATATTTACTGCTTTCTTATCTCCTCGGTGCCCACACAGCACACGGACATGAGTGGCTGCAGCTGTGCTGGAAAAGGCACTTTCTGTCTTCAAAGTCATCACCAGGTCCCATAAATCTTAAAAATATTTCATGGATCACCAAAACAACCCCCCTACACACACAGTGAGCTGCTTTCCAAGCGCACAAATACTTTCAAGCTCAACAAAATGTTTTGTTTCAGTCAGGGCAAGTTCTTTTATCTGCGTTTGGAGCCTCTGTTCAATTATTTCTCTATGGATTCTCCCCTGAAATGAGTTCAAAAATTAAATAAAAAGTGTTTGTTCAATCTGAAAACATCCAAATAATACATTTTGCAAGGAAACTCCCTATTCCTGTTGTTTTGTTGTTTTTTGGTTGTTTTTTTTTTGAGGGGGAAGGAGGTGTTGTTTGTTTTTATTACATAATTTTTTCCATCAGCACATTTTATGAGGGAGAAACTATTAAACATCATTTTCTGATTAAAACCCCAATTCTGCTTCATTTCTTCTCTCTGCAGAGCTCAGTCCCGGAGACTGAGCATCCCTCCACCACTCCTAAAAACCCCTCACTGAAAACTATGCACAAACCCAGCCAACATCAGTTTAGAAATAAATCTGCTCTGTTTACTGATAAATATTTATTCAGACATTTACCAAGGAAACATGAAAGGCAAACCCAACATCTGTATTTCTAGTATTGCTTGCTGGGTAATATCACTGGGGAACAGGGAGAAGAGGGCAGTTTTGTGATTACCCCTGAATTTCCTTGTAAAAATCAGCTTTCCCCCCTTCAAATCGAAGGGGAAATTCTGATTTCCTCTGGAGGCCATGGCATTTCTGTTGGCTGAGTGTTGCAGTCCTGTTCAGCTGCTCTGCAAAACATTCAGTTCTGGCTCAGAAGGAGCTAAATAATGAATTCCCATTCCCATGGGAAAAGCCAGTGTGGGGGTGATGGGGCCACCTCCTCCACCACATCCACATGGGACTTGCAGAAGTTTCTATTTACAAAAAATGTCCTTTTCTTCCCTTGACTTTAGGTGAGCTTCTTATTTCTGATTTATGTCCCTCGTGAGAGCTGAGGGTTGGTCTGTGAGATGCTGTGCTGCACTTCTTCCTTTGCTGGTGTTCCAGCAAAAATAATGGAGCTAAGCAGAACTTTGCTGTGGCTCTTTCTATCCGATGGAGCCGTGGTTTCATGTGGATGGAGGGAATCAGCCACAGCAGCAGGGCTTCAAAAGTATAATGATACAACTAAGAAAAGCATAAAAGGACAAAATGCTCATGAACCCACTGCAGAAATGCTCCTGAGCAAGGAAGTTTGACAATTGTAAACTTTAAGCCTGTATTTATCCCTACACTTAGATTTAACTTTGCTTTCCCTGAAGTAGTAAATAGCTCCTGGTCTGAATTCAGCCTCTGGTCTGAAGGCTCAGAGCTGAAGCCTGACAGTTCCCAACAGTCTGAATGGGCAGAAAATGAAGGATTTTAGCTTGGGTACTTCATTTCCAAACACCAAACTAGAATTTTGTCTTGACTATAAATTGGCATTTGTCTTTCTGTACAACATACCATAAAGCAGATTAATAGACCTAGAAGAAAGAAAGCCACCACTCACCAAAATAACAGGAATAAGCAAGTATCCCAGTAAAAAATTTTTGCAGGAAAGGGGGTTTTGTTTGTTTTTCTGTAACCAGCTCTGAAATTCTGCAAAGTCCAAGGAACGGCCCTGAACAAGGGTGTGAACAATTGCCTTGGCCTTTCTTCAGGACTTTGGGAGATACAGGAAAAGAGAAAAGCAAGATAAATGATGAGTTGGCACCTGAAAACCTGCTCAGCTGTCGGCACAGAGGAATGTAAACGTGTTTTGCTTACTTTCACCATCGATTTCAGGAAGGCTGCTCAGAAAATGGCTCCCCAGCCTGAACTCAAATGCAGTTCCAATAATAGAAAGAGCAGACAGATGCTTAATCATCCTCAAACCATGCTCTGCTATGCCATCTCCAAAGCTCTTGGCCCACAGGAGGTCACAGTTAAGCTCCTGTTTAGCTGAAGAGCTGTGACAGGGCTCGAAGAGAGCTGTCCCAGAGCTGGGCAGAGCCAGGCCCTCGGAGTGCCCAGCTCTGGGGCTGGGGTTGACAGGCAGCTGGGAAACCTTCCCTGGAAGGAGAGCTGTTAAATTACAAACACCTCACGTGTCTTGGGAACCACTTCTCCTATTTCTTGACTGATTTTTGAGCCTTACTTTTGCAGCCTTGAGCTACACCAGCTCTACACTGTGTCCCTGCCTCCAGCACAACATCCTTTCGCTCCAAGGTGAAAATGAGGGGACATCTTCTGGGGAAGCAAGGGATCCTCAGTGACCCTTTCATTCTCCTGATAAGGTTTACAGCCTGATGCTCATCATCAACCTCCTGATTCCTGCTGGAGTTGAAAGAAGAGCTTGGTGGGGTCTGAAAGCCCCTCCCTCCAAGGGAACACGAATCCCCAGCCTCCAAGAAATGGTTGTAAGACATCCATGGCAATGCTCAGCTCCACTCCCATAAGCAAAGCCTTAATTTCTCCATTTGTCTGCCAGTGCCACAGCATGTAGGTGAATAAATAAAAACATTTGGGATGCTTCTCTTTTGGTCCAAACCAAAGTGATCATCAGAGCTGGACAACCAGAGGCTCAAATCAAGCTACTGCCTCATTAATTGCAGGTGAGTACAATAAAGCGAATGTTTTGTTTAAACCTCTGTGAAAGATGTTTAAATGGACAGGTTTTACCTTTTCTTTGTCCTAGGATGGGAATGCTCCCCTGGCTGGTTAATGCAGAGCAGCTGAGCCCTGGTAACTTGATCATGGGCCTGAACCTGGTTCAGAGACTGTCATACAACAAATAAAATACTGCAATAAGTCTTGTGTGCAGGGAAGGGCTGCAGCCAAAGGGCTCTCACCCTGCCCTGGCACCCAGCTCTGGGGAGGACAGATTTCCTTGATGCTCTTTTTGGGGAGGAGGAGAAGGAGGATTTTTCTGACTTCTGAATTACACTAGCACAGGCAAAGAGACCTGACCCTGTCACTGGCCACCCCCAGCTCTGCAGGAGTGCAGGGTTCACCATCACTCAGCATCAGCCAAGCCAGAGCTGAGCAGCTCAACCATCGCTTTTCCCTTCAGTCCCCAACCAGACTAACTGAGTTCTGTATTTTCAGCAGGAAAAATCTGTTCCAGCATCCAGAACAGTGCCAAGCATTTCAAAAAGGTGAAAAATATGTGCAAAAAAACCACTCATAAATACCTCTGCTCGACTCAGGGCAAGCCAAGCAGACAGAAGCATGACATTCATGTAGCAAAATATTCCAGGAAACAATTAATGCAGGACCCAGATCAAGAAAAATACGTTCCCTAAGTCAAAGAAGTGGGAAGACCAGAAGGCAGGCAGCTCTCCTCCCTGGTGGCACTTGTCCACTGTGCTGTCACAAGTCCTGGGCCACCCTGAGCTCACCTGAAATGGTGCCAGGGGCTAGCAGGGACCATCAGACACTGGGAAAAGCCAGGAGCCGTGGCCAAGCCGGCTCTCTCTTTTTCAGCTGTGCAATAACTCGGGGAAAGGGTGTCAAAAATAACGACCTGGCTGGGGCTGGAGGAGGAAGGTTCAAAAGTTCAGCTTGGGAGTGGAGAGCCAGGGTTTCTGCAGGGAGAGTGGCCACGACTGAAGGGAAGGCCAGGGGGAAAAATCCTCTTTTGCAGGAAGTGCTGTTGGGGTTGCTGGCAGAAAGGGCTGTCCAGGTGTTACTGAGCTTAATCCACAGGGCCAGGGTTTGGGAGTGAGGATACAACCTGGCTCCTAGCTCAAGACTGGGAGCTCTGTCTTGGTAGGGAGCGAAGGAAAAGGTGAGGTTTTTGCTGGGCTGCTCCAGGCAGCTTTTGCAGTAGCACTAGTGGTGCAAAGGGATTTTGGGATGCAGAAAGCAGCCCCTGCCCTGCAGCACCACCAACACAAAGGACAAGAACAGTGCTGCTTCTGGGAGGGGCAGATTAAACCACCAGGATAATGTCCCAACCTCCCTGATGGCAAAGCCAGCACTCAGTGTGGGACAGACCCCTCACCTGCCATTGGAGAAGGGACCCAGACAAGCTCATCCTACTACAAAGAGAGGCACTCCATTAATCTGTGAAGCCAAGTGCAGCCTTAAATCCACCTTCTTGGCACGGGGGATTTCCCCACCCTGGATAATGCACAGGCCATGCAGAGCAGGCAGATGCCATCACCTCCGCTGCCTGTGATCACCCCACCACAACATTCAAGTGCAGCCCCAGGTGCTGCCATGGAAACAACTCCAGCCCCAAAAGCTCTTCCAGTGTCTGTGAGGTTTGGGAATTTGTGGGGCCCCTGTTCCTGGAGGAACAGAAACACCAGCATCTCCTGTACAAATGCTCAGTGCCATCCTAATCCCAGGTGAGTGTCGGGCAGATTTCCCCCATGCCATAGGTTTGCATTTCTGGATGCTGTGCATCTGCAGCACTCTCACCACCCTCAGCCCTTCCACCTAGAGAGGCAATTTCAAATGTGTGGCAGAAGGCACAGAAAGTGCACAGAAAAGCTTGGAATTCCCCCAGCAGGGATGAGAAGTGCACACCACCAAGTCAGGCAATCCAGCCCTAATTACTGTTGCCCTCTCCTTTTCTCCCTTCATTAATATTTGAGATTTCTGCAGATTTATTCATTGAGATTTTGCTTTCCAGGAGAAGCTCTTACAGGATTAGGTGGCCTCACCACTAATTCCAAGTAATTTTCCTCCCTCTTGGAAAGAGGACCTCCTAGTGCACCCCTAGTTTCCTCCCTTTCCGTGGACATACCAAGCAGGGACAACGTTTGTAGGGGAAATGGAAAACCAAGCATCATTGGTAAGATTTAGAGGAAACGAGGGTTTCACCTCTTTGAAACAAGTTGAAACCAACCCCTGTTGGCCTCTACCCCTCCACAGGCTTCTCCACCACGCAGCCATGGGAGGCAAGCACAGACTGAGCAAAGGCTGCTCTCGCGAGCGCTCCCGTCGAACCCAGCGCCTTCCCTGCGGTGTGAGCGCTCGGCAGAGAGCAATTCCAGGCCCAACAAGATGTTACATGCAATGAGGACGAGGTGTTTGATGAATCACTTTCAGAAAAGGGGATTTTTTGTTAATAATAGCAAGAATTAACATCCCACTGCAACACCTACAAGACAAACAAATGGAGCAAAGTATCCGTGAGTTCGGCACGCTACCTGCCTCCTGTGAAATGCTACCTGGGAGGTGAGAACCCCTCTCATTTAGAGCCTTGCTAAGTTTCTGGCTGTAATTAATTAGCAGGTGTCTTTAAGTAACATCATCTCCCAAAGTTAATATGGCTGATGTTTTATTTACGGTCCGTCCCGAAGAGTTGTGGTTAAAGTCAACAAAAGGCAAACATGGAAATGTGAATGTTTTGCTCATTTACAATAAAATATGTCCCCATCACTGGTGCATGTTCTTATTACTTTTGGAAAATGTGAGGTCTGAAAGCAGTAGGGAAGATTCCTGGAATAAGTTTTGGTACAGGGCAGCTGTCTGTACCAGCCCACCACCATGGGATCTGCAAACAAGAGGTATTATTGCAGTTTTGGAGCATCTGTGAGCTCATTTCTGATTTAACCAGGGCAATTGAGGCACAAACCACCAGTGGACGGGGAGCAAGGCTCCGAAATCCAGCGCTGCCCATCCACATCTAACTCACCTCATGAGAAAAGGGCACTGAGGGTGGGGAAGCACCAGAATGCTTCTGCCATTCACCCCGAATCATCTTTTACACCACTCTCCCAATTCTTATCAAGTGGAAAATCACTTGAAGAAGTAGCTCTGGGGAAGGTGGAATAAAAACTGACTTGTGCTGCCCTCCTCATTCTCAAGTGATGCCTCACATCACCACTGAGAAAACCATTAAAGAACTAAAAAAAAAAAAAAAAAAAAAAATTAAAAGAAAAAATCACTCTGAACTCTCAAGCTTCTTTCTGCTCAGCATTTCTACAGTGGGGCACATCTGTTCCCATCTCCCTGGCAGCGGGTTGGGGGGAATAATTGGAATATCTCCTCCAAAAGGAGATAAAAAGCTGATGGAAGTGCCCAGAGCCGTGGAAAGGGGCTTCCCCCGCTGCTGGCTGTGCTGACCAGCCCAGCCCAGCCGGGATGCTCCCACCCTCCAGCGCCTTTCAAACCTCTCCAAGTTCCAGCCAGCCTGCCAGATTTACGACGTGTTTCACTTTTTGAACATCCTTGGATCAGACTGGGGTGATGAAAGCCTGATAGCTCTGGAGATGGCTTTTTGTGCAGAGTATATAAAAATATTGTCCCCCAATATACACACACGCAATCCTCTTCTCCTTTCCCTTCAATGTCTCTTTACTGAAAACTCCAGCCAAGCCCATCCATGCCAAGAACCTTCCCACACTCCATTCCAGCCTCTGCTTTACTTAAAATTAATTCAGTCATAGCACCAGGGACCACAGCCTTTTGCTGGGTCTTAATAAGACCACAAGGAATAAAAAAAAAAAAAGGAAAAAGAAGAAATATTGCAGCAGTTCTTGTAACTGAATCTGTTGGAGTTGTAAGTGTGGTAAATGCATGTTCCCGCACTATTTGGATGTCTCTGCTTTGCCTTCAGCAGCTGCTGTAATAAACTTCCCAGAAAGTATTGGATTCACAGAAGTGTTACTAGAAACACTAACAGAAACCCATGGAAATGATGTCTCAATGCAACCAATCAGGGAGATAATCCCTGCTAAGATAAAGAGAAATTGAAACTCGGTTTCCTTGCCTGAGAGAGAAAATCAAAATTGCCCTCTGCATTTCAGGGAGGGGGAGGAAGAAAAGAAGGAGAAGGGGGAGATCTAATTACAAGTGTCTTGAAATTCCTTCTGCATAAAGTTTCCTTAAAGAGCTGCCAAAAGAGCAAACCCTGGGCGATGGTGCTGGAGGTGCCGCGCTCGGCTCAGCCGAAGCGCACGCGGCTCTGCCCCGCGATGACAAAACATTTAATTACGAGTGGCCCAATGTCTTCCACATTTGGAAACTGGATTCCTGACACACATAATGTACCCCATGCTGACACGACTATTTGGCAAAAGCCGAGCCTGTGATCTCACATTAATTGCTACACAAATATACTTATTGTGGGCATGGGTTTTATATGGCTGAAGCCTCCATTTGCACATGTTCACAATAAAAACACTCCCCCTCCTCCAAATAACGATTAACTTTTTTTGATATTTTTTTTGAGAGAGTTGCTTTTTTTTTTTTGAGATGCAGTTTAATGGCATGAGAACTGTCTGTCGGCTTCCATTACCCCTTTGTTCTCATCGTCTCTCGCTTTATATGTATTTTTATAAGCCTTTTAAAAGCGAGTCTCCCTGTTCTTAATTCTTCCCTCTCTTTACTTTTGTTTTTATTGTAGGGCATCAATAGAAACAGAAAGATTTTGCTGGATTAAAGACATGGCTGTCACTTGAAAGTAAGTCCCCTGATAGAGATCTTATAAGATCTCCCAGTTTCTTCCATCTAAGGCTTTTTGTGGGGAGACAGGAGGACGGCAACACATTTCCCCTTAAATCAGCGGCCGGAGGTGCGAGATATCCATCAGCTTGTGGGACTCACCCTTTTTTCTACCCAATCTGAATGTGCTCAAGCATCCACAGGGATTGCTCCCTGGTGACATCATGGGCCTCTAAAGTTCCAGCTCCCAGGATCTCGTGCACAAGAACAGATGCCAGGGTGGTGTTCCCTCTGGTGTCTCATCACAGAATGACCTGAGATCTTCATGTGGTTTCCACTGAAGACCTCACAGAGGGAAACCAGGTTTTATCCTTACAATAAGGGTCTTACAGCCTTTGCCAAGCAAAGCAGCACCAAAACACCAAAATTTCCCCTTCTCCAGCTACCCCACAGCACACGGTAAGCAGCCTGTAAACCACCGATTCTGGCTTTGCTGCTAATCCTCCCAGTAACCCTGAGCTTTGACCGAGCTCTGAGCTCTCCTAATCCAGAGGCAAAGCAACAGCTGAACAAAGCTGTGAACACCCACGAGGCTGGGGAAAATCCGAGAGCGCAGCAGGTTTGGAGTTCCAAAGCTGAAGAAGCTGTTCAAGGCTCAGAGCTATCATCGCCATCACCCTGCTCAGAAAAGGAAGACTCCAAAACCCCTGTGGAGTACCAAAGGGGCTGCCAGCAGGTGAAAGTCCCCACATTCCCTACTTCCCAAAAAAATCTCTGCAGCGCACCAATGGCTGAGTTTGGTTTTTTTTTTTCTTTCTCAGTACAAAGAAACTGTTTATTTAGAAAGATCAAGGAACCAAAAACACAGGGAAATGGTTTTTCTGCTGGGAAGGCAGCAAAGCATGCCCAGCCTCGCCAGTGTGTTCCTGCAGCGCTGCGGCGAATGCAGCGAGCTGGACGCATCCTCCCTCCCTGCTTCCATCCCTATCCCAGCCCTTGTCCAAGAGCCATCAGCTCTTTCAAACAATGACCAATTCCTTCCCTGGGGTGGCATTTCCTTATGATTCATCCCACTGTGCTGCAAGCTGGGGTGCAATCCCAGGAGGATACACTGACGTGCTGGACTCAGCGCTGCAGTGAGAGTTTCTATGACCATCAAGGTTTTTTTTTTTCCCCCTTCCAAGTGTTGCTCAGCCCTGTGTGGGTGCCAGGGCAGTTTTCCCACAAACTGGATCTGCTTTTTGATGGAGAACTTGCTGTTACAACCCCCAGAATGTGCAGAATCACCCTTGTAATGGCCTCTTGGAGTGGAAATTGCATAAAAGAGCAGTGAGGAGGGGAAAAAATTTAAAACCCCTTAATTTCAGCAAGGCAGAAGTGTCTCCCTTGAGCAACAGGATGTCTTCTGTAAACACCAGGCTACCACAGCCGTCAGAGATCTGAAGTGCTGCAGTAAAGTATTTCATTTTATCATTGCTGAGACAGAGTGAGAAAGCTGAAGGGATCATTTCAGCCTTTCCTCTCCCCCTCGTGCTGCCAAAATCCCACCGAGAAGGGTGAAGCCTTGTTTAATGGAAGTTCATTTTCCAAAGGGCAAGTATGCCTCTAAAAAGGTTGCAGGCACTTCTCCCCCACACACATCTATGGGGTTGCCAAGTCATAATTTTAACAGCAAATCTTTTTATTTGCCTCTTTTTTTTTTGTCTTAAATCCCAACCACTTGGGATTTATGCAGTGCTTGGGAAGCAGCTTTCCTGACGGGAGCGAGTTTTCACACACGATGGTTGTGTGTGGTTCCAGCTTTTCTCTGCAAAGGAGTGACCCATGTGACTGGCACACATGCAAGGAGAGCAAGATGAAGCATTTTTGGGTGCCCTGATTGTTCAGTATCCAATCAGGGCTGATGGCTGGGGCTGGCCATCGCACACATCCAGCCGCCCGCACAGCTCTGATAGCATCTGCAGCCTGGGACCTCACACTTCATCTGCAGCATCCACGGCCCATTGCTGCAGTGGGAGGCTTCCAAACCATGAATTATCTTGCACAAGTCACTTATCACAGACACACATTCATCTCCAGGAGCTGGACCCAACCCAGCCCTGCTGGCTGCAAGTTCAACTGAGGGCACACACATTCACTATTTTATTATTTTTTTTTTTTATTTGGACCATGCAATTTTGGGGTTGCAGAGCCAGACATTAAGCTGGCTGATAGTCTAGTCCTGTGAAGCATTCTGAGTTGGCAAAGTTTTACCACTGATTTATGTGGCACAACAGCTCAGGGCCTGGGATGCATCCATAACATTCGTTCCATCTGTCGTCAATGCAGATTCTGTTCTCCACCGCTCATGCTGGCAGGGCTTGATTTGCTCTTGGTGAGGGGGGGAGGAAAGGGGATGAGAGAAGAGGAAGCTGAAGTCTTCCATTGGTGCCAAAGGCTTCACAGGAGGCCTCGAGTTCTTCAGCTGCCTGTAAGCATTGTTGCTGGAGTGATAATCTTTGGCAGCCTATTTAGGAGGGGAAGGGAACGAGTGGTCACACTGATTTCGGAATCAGTGTTCACCAACACTCTCATTTCAGGCCCACACATGTCTGCACTAATAAAGGATAAAGGTTCAGAAACCATTTTGTCCTCTTGGTCTCCTACCCTTGTTCCTTGCAGGCAGACGTCCTCTCTGATCAAACCGCACACAACACTGACTCCTTTCAGAGCAGTTAAAACCCCGCTAAACTGTGAGTTATCTTCCAAGAGTACGAGCAAGTCAGCCCAAGAAGCAAAGGGAACGTTTATCTTGGGCACAACAAAAGCCTCCAATCTGCCCTGGAGATCTCTGGCACGCCTGGGGCTGGCTGAGGCTGACAGGGCTGGAAGCTCCATCCCCAGAGCAAGTGCTGAGCACCGCTCTGGGATTCACACTGAGCTGAGAGGCCTCTTGTGCTCAGAGACAGCTGAGGCATGAGCCAGGCTGA